TCAATCGGATTATCACTATCAAGCGTATGTGAGTTAGAGGGCTCCCAAGAAAACCTACACAAGCCACAAAGACTTAAGGGTGCTCAGCAACCAGCCTAAGGCTGAGCTCCACCTCTATTTATAGCCCCCAAGCCAATGAGAGCCGTTGGAGCAAAGTTGCTTGTTTCTGTGAGGGCACCGGACACGGTGGTGCCCCTCCCAACGGTCAAATTCCAATGGCTAGAAACTAGCCATTGGTCACTGGACAGGGGTGGCGGTGACCACCTAGGCCAACCCCCGAGAAAACCATCTCTTTGGAAAATTAGGGCGGTGCGCCGCCATCACCATGGCGATGACCCCCTGCGCTCAACACTGAACTCGCCAGCCTCGGGTAAAAAATAGCGGTACCACCGGATAGGACAGGGCGGTGCACTGCCCTTGGCACGGCGGTGCACACCGGTGGCAGTGGTGACCAAGTCACCCACGCCCGTGCGAGACAACCATCCAGCTAGTCACCGAACATAAGAGGGTGGTGCCACCGCCAAGGCAGGGCGGTGCCACCTCCTACACTGCTGTTCTCGGCCATGGCCAAACGATCACCGCCACTGGGGTGGTGGTGCACCGGACAGGTAGGGGCAGTGCCCCCAAGGCAGCCCCTCGAGCTCGGTTTCGCCTCCTTTCTTCACCTTTCAACTTCTCCTTTGCAAATGTGCTAACACCACCAAGTGTTCACCACCTTGTGCACGTGTGTTAGCTTTTCACAAACATTTTTCAAAGGATTAGCACTCTTTTCTCAATGCCACTCAATCCTAACACGTATGCAAAGTCGCTCAAGTGGCACTAGATGACCGATATGCAAACAAGTTTGTCTCTCTTAATAGTATGGCCATCTATCCTAAACCCGGTCATAAACTTCTCTACACACCTATGACCGGTGAAATGAAATGCCCTATAGGTTATACCTTTGCCTTACGCATTCCATTCCATCTCCTCTGATGTTGATGCAACACATGCACCAACCATATCACAAATGATATGATCCACTTCATATCATCACGTGACCATATTGGTTCATCGATCTTGACTTCACTTGCTCTTCATCGTTGTTTTGGTCCATCGGCGCCAAGTCATCACTCAACTTGCCCTTCACACTTGCAACCGATCCATCAAGCCAAGTCTTGTCTTGATCTTCTCTACCTTAGTCACATGACTTCATGTCATGTCTCATATGAAATGAGCTCCTTCATCACATGTGTGAGCCTTGCAATATATCCAAGCCATTTCACCTCCATGGCATAGGTTGCTCACACATGATGTACTTGTGGACTAATCACATGTGTCTCTCACTCAAACACATATTAGTCCACCTAAGGTTGTCACTCAATTACCAAAACCGACCTTCCAGAGCGTAGATGGACCTGTTGGGCCAATCACTGTGCTGGCTCAGGAATAGGGGCATCCGGAAGGACACGCCCGAATGGACGCCCTCACCAGAGCATTAGCCTCTACTAAAAAATGGAGCATTAGCCATTTTTTATCTCCTAAAATTACCATTGTAGATTGAAAGCATCTAGGCCCCTAGTTGGGTTTCGGTGATTAATGACGACATGAGATTACTATGACAAATGTGTGTTTTATAGAGGTAATTTGAGTTATGTCATGTTAATGGAAATTGATTGGGCAATCGTGGTTGTCATGCCACTATCGATGGAAATCATTTCGGTTTTCAAAAGATGGACGACAAGATTAAGGACGGACTAGTTCTAAGTGTCGTTTGGTGTTGGAGAGACACTTAGAGTAGTATAGAACTTTTTTTTTTTTCCTTTGGCCATACTATTAAGGGGGGTATGGACTACTAGCTTAACCTAGGTGAGTCTAATGGATTAGGTGTGGTGCACATTTGTCAAACTTAACACTAGATAGCTCAGGAATAGCACTAAGATCGATATAAGTCAACTTCATTTACAAAGAATTCGAATTAGAAGTAAATTGAGAGTCAAATGACTGACCGGACGCTGGTTTGGTTGTGACCGAACACAGCTTGGAGAGTCCGGTTAGTTCATTTGATTGGCAGCAGCAGTTAGAGTGCGACCGGACGCTTGATACCAGTGCTCATCGGACGCGACGCTAGTCGTATTTGTAGCAGCGTGGATAGGCTGTTGACCACGGACCAGACTCTGAACAGAGAAATGATCGGACTCTGGGTTCCAGCATTTGGTCAATATCAGTAAGGTTCCAGAGAGGGTTTTTGATGACCGGACGCGTCCGGAGGGTGCTGATCGGACGTAGGCCAGAGTCCGATCAGAGCAAATGGCTCTTTCTAACATGCTGACGCATTACACTGATAGGTGCGTCTGTTCACCTTGATCGGAGCGTCCAGTCATCCCGATACTTGCTGAGTTGGATCTCAACCGTTATGTTTTGAATGGGGGGATTTAAATACATATCTCACTCATCCATTTGAGGCATCTTGCCCATTTGTTCAGCTGAGAAACACCTTTGGAGTGCAAGGGAGAGCAAGAGCCTAGTGGGGTGATTGAGATTTGATAATTCAAGATTAAGGACCTCATTAGTGCATAGGGAGTAGCAAGTGTGCATCCACCTTACTCATTAGCTTTGTCTTGTTCAAGTGAGAGTTTGTGCTTGTTACACTTGGTGATCGCCATCACCTGGATGGCTCGGTGGTGATTGGGAGCTTGGTGATCATCCGACGGAGCTTGTGGATGACCCAAGTTATTTTGTTAGCGGTCGTGGACGATTCACCGTGATGGAGTGTCAAAGAATCTACCCTTAGATTGCACTTGATCCTTGCGCGGATCAAGGGGGAGCTACACCCTTACGCGGGTGCTCCAACGAGGACTAGTGGGGAGTGGCGACTCTCCGATACCTCGAGAAAATGTCATCGTGTTCCTTTTCCTCTCTTTATTTTGAGTATTTATATTTGAGCAATTTATTTCATGTCTTTACATTCCTAGAATTGTCATGCTAGAGTAGGATTGGAACCTAGGGTGCAAAACTTTTATACGGGAGAATAATAGAAACACATTCTAGACACAAGTGGTGAAATGGGCTAAGTGTAGGGCTTAATTATTACAAAAAATTAGAATTAGTCCAATTCAGCCCTCTCTTGAGCATCTTGATCATTTCATAGATCTAGAACCAATTTTAGATGTCTCATCATCTATAAACTTTCAAAGCCGTGACTAGCCAAAATTGTTGTTATAGTTTCGCTATTGCCGACGTTGAAACAAAGACAATGCATTGTTAAAAGAAATTTTAGAAAGGGTGTAGGAGAGTAAGATGTTTAGAGCATCTCCAAGAGTACCCAATATTTTCTTCAAAAAACATAGAGTTTTACAACTCTTAAAAAGTATTAGAAGGAATAAAGAAAGCAATCTCCAAAAGTTTCTAATAATACACTCCTAAGACAATTTTACATAAGGAAACATATACTATTTCTAAATTATCCTAACCACTTTTATATATTATTTCTCTCTTGTATATTTACATCAGGAACCCTTTCATACTCTTTATTCTTTTCATGCCTTTTCATCTTTAGGTTGACCGACAAACACACGCGTGAAGAGAAGATACGCGTGACTCGAAAGCGCGTAACTTTACGCAGGAACATGGTGACTTTTCGTAAGTTCTAAAAAATTAGGGGATGGATTATGAGTTGTTAGCCAGGAGTTTTTTCTCGTCTTGCTAAAAACCAGGGATTTATGGAACTCTTATAGATGTTCTTAGTGTTGATATTTTTTTTAAGATCTCACAGCGGTTATTTAGACAGATTTGAATTTTTCAGGGAGTAGAATACCTGGGAGGGGTGAAGTAAACAAGTATAATTTTTCCATTTGGACGAGGTCCACTTTAACACCAGCATATCTCCAATTTTCTGGTTTCTTGAGCCCTTCATCAAAAACAGCCCGTACTTTCTCGTGTAGTCGTGTGTGACCGCCGGCGCCGGCGCCGGCGCCGCCCTAATCCAGGTCCCTACTCCCTAGGTCTTCGTTGGATCCTTCGCTGTCGATGAGATCCCACCAGGTATCCGCACCCTTTCTCCCTTCCTGCTGTGCGAACCCTAACTTAAGTTATGTGGCTATTTGTATTCGGATCTGATCGAAGTGTGTCCATGGCCACTAACTTCGATTTTTTTTTTTTTTGCCAAAATATTGAGTCCCATGTTCTCTACTTGCCCCTGGTCTGGAACTTCATTTTATTTATTCACTTTTAAGTTCTGAACTTCTGATGCATTCTGTTTCTACCAAATGGCCAATTAGTCATGTGCTAATCCCTTTTATGTTCTCATGTATGCCTTCTTAGTAATGGCGTTGCCAATCTCAACAAGACGCTATCAGCAATTTCCTTTAGTACAAAACAATGGTGAGCATTTGTAGTCATGTTCTGTTACTTGATCACAAATGTTTTTATTCTCTACTTTCTCGGTTGCTGGAAATGAAATGTTCACGTAATTCTTCAGTATACAAAACTGGTTCTGGAAAAGAAAATTTCCAACAAGTTATCCCAGAGAAAATAAGAGCCATTTGGAAGAGACTGCAAGCATCTGTTGTAATATTGTATGTATCCACTGTATTTAAGATGAACTGGCTGCATGTTGGTGCGCAAGCTAATCATTTTGTCTGATCAACTTCACTAAGTACTTCTGGACTAGCCTTGATTATTTTATTCTAGTTAGCTTTATCATTTGCTTTTCTGAAAACTACATATTTTAGCAACTAACAGATCAATGATACCCTTCTTTGGTTTATTGTGACATTTGAGTATGTTAGTATTTACTGCAGTATATCAATAATCATGTGGTTTTGCACAAATAGTACTTCAACTCACTTCCTTTATATGCTCTACCACCTTACCCTGTCTTTTCCCACACAGGCCTTCCAAGAATTTCTAGATTAAAAATGTCATGCTTGGGAACAAACCAAAGTAACCATCATTCTCATACCGTCGTATCTTCATCGCCTAGTTGTGGAGATACCAGAAAGATCCACCCTGTAGTCAAAATGTGTGGCATCACATCGGCTAGAGATGCAGAAATGGCTGTAAAGGCAGGAGCTGAACTTATAGGCATGATACTGTGGCCCAACTCTAAACGCTCTGTCTCTTTGTTGGAGGCAAAAGAAATATCAAGAGTTGCACAATCTTATGGTGCTGAATCAGTTGGTGTCTTTGTGGATGATAATGAAGATACAATACTACGAGTGTCTGATTCATGCGACCTTAACTTTGTCCAGGTTCGATTTAGAAATGCTGTATCCTATGTTGTTTACGCTGGTTATGACTATTATTTACACACTCCAGAATTTTTAATATGCAGCTTCATGGTGATGAATCTCGTGCATTGGTTCATACTCTTTCAAAGAACAATCGTATCATTTATGTACTAAATGCTGATGACAATGGAAAACTAATCAACGCTCCTGATATGGAATATGAACTTGATTGGTACTTAGTGGACAGTGCAAAAGGCGGAAGGTTAGATCTTGCTCTTATTGCTTCTATAATCCCATGTTTGCTCGATGTGCTAAAATTAGTTCTGTTTGTTCTACAACAAGGAAATCATATGATTGTAATTAAAACCCAAAGAGATAGTTGAGGCAACTGATCATTCAACTGTTCGTGATGTGAATACTCACTAAATTCAGCGTTATCAGTATCTTGTCATTCCTTACTCTATAATTCGTAGAGAAGTTCTCTTGGATTGTATGCTAGCTAATGGACATATTTCTATATGACAAATGCCACCAATTTTCATTTGCAGTGGAAGGGGATTCAATTGGCAGAAGTTCCAAATGCCGTCTGTCAAAAGCAAGAATGGATGGCTGTTAGCTGGAGGGCTTCATGCAGATAATGTCTGTGAAGCCTTTTCTGCTCTGAAGCCAAATGGTGTTGATGTTAGCAGTGGCATATGTGCTCCTGATGGTATCCAAAAAGATGCAGACAGGATTGATTCCTTCATAAGCAATGTAAAATCCCTGAACTTCCTATCATAAGGTCATTTGCTGGTCGAGAGCTTAGTTTTATATCATTTGCTCACTCCGCGGAATCCCTGAATTACTGCAACCTGAAGGCAAGCTGTCGAAATTGCGCTTGGGGCTGAGGGAAAAATTAGTGATTGAATTTTTGAAGAGTGAGCATATGTATCACCGTTTATTGTTGAGTGTAGCAAACTCCTTAGTGAAGGTAAGATGTTGAAATTGCACTTGAGGCTAGTGATTAAATTTTTGAATCTGAATATTATATGTATCACTGTTTGTATTTGTGGATTTTGTACGCATGTCCAGTTCAAACGCAAAAATAAAAACACATTGCACAATCTGACAAAATCCCTGCAGTAAACGATATACATATTATGACTTTAGTTATAACTGGAAAATTTTCATTACCTGTATCTTGATCAAATTCGTCGTCTGCTATGTCAGCTAGCGTTTGATACGAGCAAAGAGTAGTGCCACCATGGTTTTTGTTAGGCAACAAACAGGGGTGGTGTACCCTGAAGCTGGTTATTGGAAGGTAACATGAAATCGCTTCAATTTCTATGGACTTGGGAACCTAAGTGTCGGGTTCATAAACCCGGGTCCCTCATGGACCTGCTTCCCAGTAAAAAGCTTGGCCCAGCAGACGACATTGCGAACGACGTGCAACTCTGGGTCGGCCCAAATACCTAATGACAGGCTAGAAGGGAGATCCAATCTCCGACTAGAAGGCCTGGCCAAGAGGAACGACGCCCGTTTCCGACTCCGGCCCGCCTCTCGACCGGAAGGCGTGGCTGAGAAGGAACAGCGTCCGCTTCCAACTCCGGCCCGCCTCTCCGACCGGAAGGCCTGGCCAACACCGCTTTCGACTCCGACCCGCGTCTCCGATCGGGGATACACCAAACCTCTACTTACATCTTTTCTCCGATTGGCGCAGTCGAAGCCGACTGGGACCAACCGACCGGGGACGCCCGCTCGGTGAGGACCCAGTGAACGGGCAGAGAAAGTAAGGCAGGGCGCTCAAAGTCAACCGCAATACCAAGGACCGTACCCTGTACACCTGCAGGATAGTACCAATAGGACATGTCAGAAGGATGTCCTGCCACCTTCTAGGTATGTCAGAACCCAAGCAGTGTTGTGGGCACCGACGTTTGTCCAACAGTGTTGTGGGCGCCATCAATTCCCATACCAGGTGAACACGGTAAGACCCCCCCCCCCACATGCCTCTGGGCATCAACAGTGTTGTGGGCACCGTCATTTGCCATACATGGTGAATGCGGTAAAAACCTCCCACATGCGTCTGACATAAACAGTATTGTGGGTGTCTACCATCATCTTGTACCCGACGGCGTGGACAACAAGACTTAGTAGTGTATGTACTCTCTCTCTCTTGTAAGGTCGTCCCCTTCATCTATAAAAAGGGATGCGCTCTCTCTCAACGAGGAGGGGAGATAGAGAGAACTCAAAGGACTCTCGGACAATTCGAACAACAAACGATCGATTCACCCTCTGCTAGCTTTAGACACTCTAAAGCTACACAGAGCACACGCTCAAATACTTAGTGCACGTAGGAGCTCCCGTCACTCTCGGCCCTTAAGTCCAGAGTCTGACCGGACCTCTTGCACCCCCCATCTTTCTCCCTCTCGTTTGTAACCCCACAGCAAACTTCGAGCACCTGGGCTCAGGAATAAAGTCACCGACCGACTCAAACTGGACGTAGGGCACATTGCCTGAACCAGTATAAACCCTGTGTCATTGAGTGCTAGGCCACATCCGATCACAACGTACGGCAAAACTATAAATATTTACGTGTTGGTCACTTTCTGCACCGATAGTTGGCGCCGTCCGTGGGGAAGACGCCGTACGTTCATGCTTTTTGGTCATCGGATGGCCCACTTTTTGCCACCTTCGCCATGGCGGGCTCAAGCGATACGACTCGCTTCGGCTCACTGGAGTTTCCCGCACTCCCACCTATTGGGATGTGGGTTCCACCCGTCTTCGAGCTGTCCCAGGCCTTCCTCTTTGGAAGCTTGGACTTCATCGCCGACCGGCTCGGCGTGCTGCGCCTCCGCAAGGAGGCACTTGTTCCGGCGCCTATCGGAGGAGGCACGTCCTTCGTCGGCTCCAGGACTCCCGACGACTTCAACGACGAGGCGCATGTGCTTCGCTCTAAGCCCACGTTGGGCTCAAACCCAATTGTGAGTAACGTACGCTTTGTTCTTTACTCGCTTTTTACTGTTTTCCGCCGATTCTCCGGAGGGACCTCGTTGTCCTTGCCGCGACCGCCATGTGACCGGTTCCCCTATGGCCTCGCGTCCCCCGTGGACACGTACGCCTAGGGGCTCCGAAGGATGCTGGCGCTGCCCCCTCTCACGTCTGAAATCGTGGGGATGGCGATCTACGCTCCCGTCTCTTTTCACGACCTCATGGATGAAGATGTTGAGAGCGACGGCTCCAGCATCGGCGATGTTGTGGCACCTAGCCACCCTCTGTCCTGGGAGTGCGCTATGGCGGACGCTCCGGGACAGCCGCCGGTGGTGGTGGACTCTCTTCAGACCCACACCCCTCCGGACCCTCATGTGGAAGCCCTCGCATGTGCCCAGGAGCACGGCGAGGAGCTACGACAAAGGCGCCAGAACCAGCCACCGCATGCGCCGACGCGCTCGGTGCACCACGCTGCGCCCCGTGCACGTAACTCGGTGAGCGGCGCCTAGGGTCACGCCCGCTAGGTCCAGCGCAGCATCATGGACGAGGGGAACGATCCCCTGCAGTTCGCTCAGGCTGGCCAGAACATCACCGCCACAGCGATGCTTCTGCGCGGCCTTCCCGAGTCGGACAACCCCCAGTAACAGGCGATCCATCGAAACCTCCAGGCACTAGTGGAAACCGCCGCCGTTCAATAGGCGAAAAGCTCCACATCACGCCACCGACTCATGGCCTCTTTCCCTACTGGGGGAATGGGGGCGTGCTAGTCCAACCACTCCATCCGCTCACCACTGCGGCCACGGGACGTGCAACAGGAGGGCGCAGCTGTGCCACAGCCTGACCCAGCACCCACTCCACACCGACCGCCTATGCGCGAACGCCTCGGGCAGAACCAAGACGCTCGTAGCGTCATTAGCAACCGGCGTCGGTCCCGGCATGATGATCATGTCCATCGGGCAGCGGTGAGAGCAGACGCCACGGGCTCTAGCTGGACCATCGAGGGGACCGGTGAAACGCGCCCTAGGCGTGGTCACCGACCCAACGACTGGAGTCCTAGCCCGGATGGCTCGGGACCACGGGCCTTTGGCCGACGCATCCAGAGAGCGTCGTTCCCACAGCGCTTCCGACCATCAACCAACATCGCCAAATATACCGGGGAGATGAATCCCATTATATGGCTCGAAGACTTCCAGCTCGCCTGCCGTGCCGGGGGAGTGGATGATGATCACTTCATCATTCAGTACCTCCCCATCTGCGTGGGGGAACATGTTCGAGCATGGCTCGAATTCCTCCCGCGCGACAGCATCCGCGACTGGGCGGACCTCAAGAGGGTCTTCGTCGGGAACTTCTAGGGGACGTATGTCCGCCCTAGGAACTCCTGGGACCTCAAGAGCTGCCAATAAGAGCCCAACGAGTCCATGCGGGATTACATCCGCAGGTTCTCAAAGCGGTGCAACTCTCTCCCTGATGTCGTCGACGCTGACATCATCAGCGCATTCCTCTCCGGGACAACCTGCGAGTCCCTGATCCATTAGCTTGGCTACATGAAGCCCCGTACCACCTGCGACCTGCTCGCCGTCGCCACGAACCACGCCTCTGGTGAGGAGGCGGTTGGAGCGGTCTTCAACGGAGGCCGGAACAAAGGCAAGGACAAGCGCGAGGACCAAGACGAGGGCCCCTCCACACAGAGGGGCAAAAAGAACAAGAAGGATCGACACCGACAGGCTGACTCCGCGTTGGTCACCGCAGCTGATCGCGTGGGCAAGCAGCCCCAGCAGGGCCTGCCTGACCACTTCAACAAGCTCATGGATAGCCCATGCACCAACCATGCTTACCCCGTCAAGCTCCTCTACAAGGATTGCGAGCTCCTCAAGTGTTTCCTGCGACAGGCCGGTGGGTCAAAAGAATGAAAAGGCAAGGAGGCAGCAGCCAAGAAAAGAGGTGCGGCGGGCAAGGATGGGGATGGCTTCCCCGACCCCAAGAAATGCATCATGATCTTCGGAGGATCCGATGCCGTCTACTCCAAGCGCCAGCACAAAGTGCGCTACCGAGAGGCGTGCGTCGCCGAAACGGCCGTCCCCTCCTTCCTTCGCTGGTCGAAATCTCCGATCATTTTTTATCAGAGGGACCATCCATCCCACGTCACCAGACCAGGACGCTACCCGCTCGTCGTTGACCCCATTGTCTGCAAGAAGCGCCTCACCAATGTGCTGATGGACGGAGGTAGCGGCCTCAACATCCTCTACGTCGACACCCTTGACGCCATGCGTATCCCCCGGTCGGAGCTCCGACCGGCGAGCTCTCCCTTCCACGGCGTGATCCCGGGAGCGTAGGCATACCCGCTCGGGCAGATCGACCTGCCCGTCATGTTTGGCGACCGAGCCAACTTCCGCTCGGAGGTGCTCACCTTCGAGGTGGACTTCCTGGGGTCTTACCACGCCATCTTGGGGCGCCCATGCTATGCCAAGTTCATGGCGGTTCCCAACTACACCTACATGAAGCTGAAGATCCCAGGACCGAACGGCGTCATCACTGTAGGTAGCACCTTCTCGCATGCCTTCACGTGCGACCGCGAGCATTACGAGTTTGCCACTGCCATCATCAATTCTTCCGAGCTCCCACGGCTCGGGGAGTTGTCGACCCTAGCAGTCCCAGACTGCAACAAGCCAACCTCCTCGACTGCCTTAAAAATTCGGTCTTACCATTTTTTCATTCAACGTTCGCTCTTGCAAAGCACCCCGGCCCGAACACTTTCGGCCCGGGTCGCTTGGGGGCTCCACGAGGGTGCGATACCACCTCTCTGTTTTACTATC